GCCCGGCCCGGCGCTCCCCGTGAGGGGCGGGAGGGGGAGCAGAAAAGCCCCATCTCTTCGGCCAGCATCTTTGTTTGTGGGGCCCTGCCGCGGAAGAGGAGCGGCGAGACCCGGGCGGCGAGCTGCCGGTGCCCCCGTCTCACTTCGGGGCCTCCTCCCCCGCCTGTGCTTCCCGGGCGCTGCCTCCGTTCTCGGCGGGGTTCTTTCACCCCCCTCGGCTGGATATCTCGGTTCCGGAGCATCGTCGGTGGGACCGGCCGGGGCGAGAGCGGGTGGAGGACTAACGCAGAGGAAACTACAGGTCTCCCTTCTCCTCGCCTTCCGAAGAGATACCAGCGCCTTGCTCTGGGGATTATAAATGTTTGAACTAAGACCCAGGAAACTGGAAGGAGAGCCTCCCGTTGGAGTTAATAGAAGAGGAAAGAAGGGAGGCTTTTCCAAATCCTTTACAAGAAAGCTCGAGCCGTTTTCCCATGCTGTCCGTACTCTCTTTAATAATGCGATTGTGACCTGAGTGGAATTTATGAGCGATGAACTATTGAAGCTTGTTGCACCACTGCATCAGACTACTTTTGTTTTTTTTGCTCAGCACATGATTCCCCCATCCCAGCTGTTGCAGGACCTATGGGCCGGTAATAGAGGGATGGGAAGCTGAGGCAGTTTATTTTCACATTCTTCTCTTCTGGGGACTTGGCTAGTTAGCTGAAGCCGCTGCTGCTTTTTACTGGATCTGCTCTGTACTCGGCAGGTTTATTTGTTTTCATGTGCACGGGGTGTTTCAATTAAATAGACATTGGACTAGAGCTGAATGGATGCTTTGCAATCTGAAAAGTTTTTGGGAGTAACAAAAAACTACTAAAAGAGAAGAACTGGTACTGCAGGAAACCTGGGGCCTATTTTCAAAGCCTTTTTATTTTATTGAGCAAGGTAAATAATGTGGTAATGTTGAAAATACAGGGCTTATGGTAATCATGCATGAAAATGTTACAAAGCACTTCAGGCTGTTCCAAGTCTTTCAAGGGATTGAGAGGTTCCACTGTAAGGCTCAGAATAAGTTTAATTGTTCTTTAAAATGTTCAGATATGAGTGTGAAATTTAAGGCTGACAACAAACTTTGTGGTACCTGAGAGGTTGAGAGAACTATTTTTTTCTGATTTGCCTTAGGTTCTTCTAGGTTTGTGATGTTGAGAGAGGCTGTCTGAAGAACTTTAGAAGTCCTAGTGGTTCACTGAGAGTGTGCAGTAACTATGCTACTGGTTTTTTTCCATGCTTTTTAAAAAATTTAGCCTCTTGTAAGGATCTGTTAGGGTCTCTTAAAAATCCTTCCGATTTAACAGTAGTACAGTATTTACATTTGCATTGTTAATTGTATTCATACTCTGCCTTGAATTATTTTTGCTTACCTTTACTTTTGTTATCCACAGTAACGGCTGCTACTGCTTCATAATGAATTTTTTGCTTTTTATCTTCCTTTATATGTGTATCTCCTGAATTGGATTATTTGGATTTACCACTAATTTACATGCATCGCTTTTACCATAGACTTTTTACAGCCAGCACAAGCTCAAAGTACTGTTTTAGATACTATCTTTGTATGTTTCAAACGTTGGAAGAAGCAGATAATGATTCTGAAAATATGCAGTGTAATCAGTTAAGTGTATAATTTTTGGTGGCATGCTGCATTCTTATCTTTGTTGTTTTAAAGATCTCAGCAGCAGTTTACTCTTAACAAAAATATAAATCCATTAAAATGAGATCACAGTTTGAAACGTAGCTGTAAAAATCTGGTTTAGCAAGACGTCACAGGATTCTCATTATGAAGTGATGCCTTGATTAAATTGATTGTATACCTTTTCTCCTGCACTCTTAATGAAATAGTGGCAAACACTAAGGTGTTGGCAACATTTGCTGATGCTATCATTGGGAAAGCTAAGTTGGTATTATGGGTAGTATCCAAAGTTCCTTTGCTTATCCTGTTTAGATTTGTTTGACTTAAATTTATGGTCTTTATTTTGTCTTATTTTGTTTCAAGATGATGTGTGAGGTGATGCCAACCATCAGTGAGGCAGAGATTCCCTCTGGGGGAAATGGAGGCCATGGTTCAGGTTCCCCGTTACAGTCAGATGCTGACTCCCATTTTGAGCAATTAATGGTATCCATGTTGGAAGAAAGGGATCGCCTTCTGGAAACACTAAGAGAAACTCAGGAGACGCTAGCATTGACCCAGGGCAAGCTACATGAAGTTGGTCATGAGAGAGATTCCTTGCAGAGACAGCTCAATACTGCACTTCCACAGGTATGGACATTTTGAAAGGAAGGTATCTTTCAATAATTTTTGTATTCTTTGTGGTTTTTTGTTGGCTTTTTGTATATTTAATTTACTGAAGAGTGAGGTTATGTTAGGGGAAGATCAATCTAGCTTAGAACTTTCCTGAAGTATCTGAAGTTGGTGCTTGCTCACTTTGAGAAAGAGAAAAGCAAGGCAAGCAGGGGAACATCAGCCATTTCCCTCCAATATGCTTTCCCAGTTTCCGGCATTTCTTTGGCTTAGCTTGAGCATGAAGTCTTATCTACATCCTTTTGTTTAATAGAACTTGATGGACTTTCTTCTGTCACTAGTATTTTTCTAATGTTGTTTCTAACTACCTGATTCATTCGTGTGCTTAAGAATTACATACAGGCCATTCTGGGAAAGAAAGCAGGCCATTCTGATACCCTTGTGGACTTTGATTTAAATACTTGAAAAGTTTAAGACTGCTGCGTTGTGAATACATGCTGAGTTGTCATGGCAGTGTAGAAGTCCGAGTGAGTTGTTTAACTCATGTAGTTCCTTTTTGAGAGTTTGGATTTGGGTTTTTTTGGTCTTGCTAGGAGTTACTAAGTATTGACTTCTGGAGGATGCAGTGTACCAACATACAGCCTGCAGTGCTAGATGTGTTACATAGGGCAGTGGTGTGTAGTTAGGAAGGGTGATTGGTGTCTACAGAACTTCTCAGTTTTTGTCCATTCTAGTTAAAAAGAGTACAACTGAACTTTGAACACTTTGAAAAGCATTTGAATGTAGGCAAAGCAGAGGCTGCTTTCAGGTGTCAGTTAACTGTTGATAGCCTTACACTTTCTAGCATGGTTGGTTGTTGTCCCAAGTATGTCATGATGATATTATACTTGCATACGTTATTCCAAGAATACTTTTTATTTTATCCTTAAATACTGTAGTTACTGTTTATAAAATTTAAAGCAGTAGTTTTAAACCCTTCTGTTTCCACTGCTCTCATTATAACGTAATCACTCTATGACTCTTGGTATGGTAATCGGTACTGGCAATTACTTGGGGATAGAAACTAAAAAGTAATACATGTTAATCTAGTTGTATTGCAATGGTATGATGGAAATCAGAAAGGAGAAATTTCCAACCTTTGCTGCTCCCTGTGTTAAATCATGTGCTGCAGGCAAAAATCATTCTTTGTTTTTTTTTTGTTGTTGTAATAATTGTGGCTTCTCTTTAGCCGCTATTTCAGGTCTGCTACATTAATGGATGCCATTAACCAATTGTATCTGCAAACTGTTACGCTTGAATTTGTGGCTGAGTAGAATCACCCAAGCTCTAAACTGTACTGTTCCTTTTTTCCCTTTTCAATTCTCAGCTTTCCTTCCTAAATCTAGTAAGCTACTTATATGTAAACATTTCTTTCTAAACATTTCTAAAAGATTAATGCAATTAAAAAAACAATTCCCATTTTCAAGTATGTCATCATTGTATGGTTTCATGGGAAATCTGTCAGAAAGCAAGTCTCATAGTTCAGTTGAGAGAAATTTTACTGCAATTTTATATAAATATACAGCAGTGTATGGATTTTTGTAGATGGCTGTTGAAAAATACTGTTGTCAGCTCAAATGATTATGGAAGGTGACAACTGATGATACTTTCAAAAGTCAAAAATATTTTATTATTCTTGCTACAATAAGAAATAACTTCTGTATTTGACAAGTTTTGTTGTTATGGTAAAGAGTCAGTTACTTCATAGGTGTAAATTTCTGATGAGGTGAAAGGATGTTTGTTGGGGTTTTTTTGGTTTGTTTTTTTTTTATTGTAATAAGTGTTCACTAGGAAAACTTGGTGGTGACTGTAATACTTGAAACTATTCAAACTTTTTTGTTAATTACTTCAAGCTGAGCGTTCTTCTGAACTACTGTCTCAAATGACCCGTTGTTTAGCTGTGGATTTCAAGGAGGGGGTAGAAGCAGGATAACTTTAAATTTACTGGCAATTGTGTTATTTTTTTCATGAAAGAAGGGATTTAGCAGTGTGCATTTTTTGAAGTTTTTTTATCATAGTAGTTGTTTTCAATTTAGTAGAAAGAGATGTGAAGATCAGTTTAACTAGTTGTACAAATACTAGTATAATTGCATGAATGACTAAATCACCACGTAACCAATGTATTATTTCTCCCTCAGACTTGGCATGTAGCTTGTAACACGTCTTTGTAGTTGATTTTGGAGTATTTTAAGGACTTTATCTTAAGGAGTATTGAATTGAATTGTTTGTATGTACACTTTTCCTGTTTTATATATTTAGCTGAACCAGCCAGTTAGACCGTTCTGATGACTGATGGAAGCTCCTTGTATAAAAGGAATGCCACACTGATTGCTTCTATGCCAAAACTACTTCTCTGTTTTTAGTATGAAGACACGCAATTTCTAATGGCATCTGTGTGCTTAATTCCTTACATTCACTGAGTTTCTGTGTGCAGGGAAGAGGCTCATGTGCTCGGTGTGTATGTAGTTAGAAAATGACAAATCAGTACTTGTGTGTTTGCACATCTTGTAGATTATAAAAGTAAATGCAGTTTATTCTGCAGCAGTGATGCGCATTCTCTGAAGCATCAGAGAAGTAAACTTTTCTAGTATACTTGTACTGTGGTGGTCAGCTAGTAATCGAAAGGCATCAGTTCTAGCTCACATAAACCTGAAACTGCTATTTAGAGTAAGAAGACTTGTTGTGGATGTCTAATTCACAGAGAGGAGAGCATTCTAATCTTATATAGATGTGCTTTATCTGTTACGTTTACACAGAGTAAAACTGACAAGTTTTTCTTGTATGAACAGCTGGAAATGAAATACATCAACGTTGTCTTCATAAAATAACTGGATTCTTGGCAATGCTTTTTGGTTTTTTGGGAGTTACCTTCTATTACAGATTACCCTAGTCAAACTGTACTCTGACCTTGGAACATGAACTTGATGAAATCAAATTGCTGTGCAAGAACTTAAAATTAATTTTATTGTTCCTAGAATTTTTCACAGAAAAAAATGAAAATGAACTTTTTACTTTGAGAACGTACAGAACTTCTATTTTTAATGTAAACAAATTCAGTTATGATTTAATTATGGTCTTAGTAGATTTAATTATGCCCTTTATGTGCCTTCTAGAGTGTATTCTACAAAATTCAAGGTTTGTGTGCTTAAAATTTTTAAGTTAATCTGTGAAACATACAGGATGCTACTGTGTTTAAAAGTTAAATTTTGAACTTAAGGTAGATGAGGTCCGAGTGACTACCAGTTCTTGCTATTAAGGTGTTGCAGGCTAGGGTTCAATTTGCTGGTAGAATTCCATGTAGAAGTTTCTGTAAATGACAACAACATGCTTGTTTTGGGTGGAGAAGACTAGAGTTTAATTTACAGAGGCTCTGGTACCTCACACAAATAAAAGCAAAGTTCATGAATTCACAGCAACTCTTATCAGGATGACAATTTTAATATATATGTTAAGAATTTTATAGGCTAATGTACAAATATTATGCTTCTAATACAGCAACACTCTTACTAAGATTCCTCTTAATCTTGCACTTCCAATCTTTTGGTCTTAAATTTATCATACTTTATTTTCATTTCTATGCAAGGTAAGTAAAATAAAAGTTAGAAGTTTTTTCTGTATTTGTGATGGTCCTGTTCAGAATTTCTGTATTCAGCAACGTATATATAGGGGCAGACGAGAACTTTCTGTCAAAGGCTGTGTGTGTCTATGTGTAAATAAGAGCACTTTACTGTAATGTGGAGTTAAATGTGGAAAAAAAAGCTGCCTGTAATTTTGGTTTGGCTTCAGCTTTACTAGGTTGCCCATTGTATCTTAATTTAAAGTGAATCCCCAGCAGGCCATCTTCAGTTGCATTCTATATATAGTAAATATTTTACTACTACTGCACACTTCAGTTAAAAATAGTGTGTGTCTGTTTATATTTGTGTTCAATTAAATTCAGGTATGTCTCTATAGAATATTCTTCCTTAGACAATCTCAGAAATAGTGTTCGATGTCTCGAATGTAAGAAATATAAACACTTGGTTTGAAGACTGCCCTAGTATTGTTTTATAATGATGAACTTAAGGATTTACTTACCACTTTAATAATGGTGTTATTTGGATTTCCTCCAGACAGGTTTTAAATAATACAGGATGTCATAGATGTAGAAATGAGGTTTTGAATTGTACATAATATGAAGAACACAGTTGCAGAAAGTACATTAAGTAAAGGGCTTGCCAAACTTTGCAACAGCTGAAATTTCCTTAGCATTTTGAGTGCAACTCCATTTACAGCATTCGGAACTGTTCAGCCTTGAGGTGACATAGCTTATACTTCTTACTCTAGCAAGATGTTGATACTGACTTCTAAATAAAAGCCATTAGTCTTAGCAGTGAGCCTGTGTGTCCAGAAATGATAGAGATCCAAAAGGATTTCAAGATGTGCAAATGTATGTCAGAGCAGACGTATCCTCCACTTCTCTCATCCCGTTCTGACAGCAAAGATGAACATGACTCTTTCTGTTGCTTTTTCAGACAATTATAATCTTAGTCTTGTCTATGTTGAGTTTCAGTTGCTAAATCTTACTTGGCTCTTACTGTAGTAAGTTACTGGATAGATTTGTCTTTATCTACACTAGTTTAAGTCAGATGAAGATAGGAGTTAATGTTTAGAATTCTTCATTGACTATATCAATAAACCTCAACTTCCCTAACATTTCTTTCTTTGCAAGGCACAGAAACAGACAGCTTTTGTCCAAAACCTTCAGAATACGAAGTTATCTGAAAGTATGCTCTATGATCAGGCAATACTACACTTCAACAGTATAGTGGAGTATATTGAGGACCAAGTCTCTAGCATTTGTTCTGACTTCGTTTCTCACTTAAATATGTTTGGGTGAGTTTGTTTATTGAAACATCCCACCCCTACCCAGGAGACATCTGCTTGCCTCTTGTTAGCAACTTGCTGTTTATACTGTGCTTTTAATTTAGGTTATCTTG